GGTACCACATCAAACTTTCTTTGTCTTAAATTATTTAGATGGTACTTCCAATTCTCAATTTAGGTGGGTATTATTGTGAGCTTTCTTTGTCTAAAGAACTCATCAAATTATTTTTATGATTAAAATTTTAAAACAATTAAGCTAAGTAAAAGTTTTTTTATTTTCAAAGGTTTATTGAGTGACAAAGGTACTTTGGACTACGTAAAACCAAGGCATCCAGCACCATGAAATTAACACGGCCATTGAATATATTGGAAATTTTGTTGTTAGGTAATTTTCTAAATAGATACTACATATAAAATGCACATCATCTTTACGTGAAAGCAAAATAACTGAAACTAAGCCAAGGCATCCAGCTGCATGAAATGAACACGGCCATTGAGTATATTGGTAATTTTGTTATTAGATAATTTTCTAATTAGATACTACGTATAAATATGCACATCATCTTTACGTGAAAGCAAAATAACTGAAACTAAGTTTAATAACCGAAAATAATTAATTAACATGTTCACGCTAGGATTTGATTTCACATGTGGATTGTTAAAGAACTAGACACAGAGAGGAGAAAACAAGAGAGACGAAAAGAAAAGAAAAGAAAGAAAAAACATGCGATTAAACATTAATTCACACGAGTGCTATAAAATGTATAACTTTAATTTCGTATATTGTTTGGGGTCTTAAGCTCATGTTCAAAACTCATCAACATCATTTTCCCTCCCCTTTAACCTCTAACTCTCTAACCCCACTAACCATTGCCAAGTGAAATAAATAAATAAATAAATAAATAATTCAAATTAAACATACCTAGTGGCTTACATCACAAGTACAAAAATTATCCAAATACCCTAAAAAAAAATTCTATGTACAATATCTATCAGACTACCCGTATAATATGTGAATGGATGGATAATGGGTGCATGGTGTGCCTTATATGCGAATACATTAATAGGACGGTGAAAAACCCTATATATAGGTGTGCGCGTTGCAGCAATAGAGAGATATATACATAATGATTTTGTATTTGTATATGTTTGCACCTTTGGGAAGGAAGTGAATAGTTCTCTAAATCCATATTTCTTCAACCATCCAGTTTATTCTTTCTTTTATCTTCAATCTCAACCCAGACCTTCTTTTACAAGAAAGCCAGTAGCAAAATTCTAAAATTTTCACAACTCAAGCTTCTATTGCCTTCCTCTAAATTTTCTCAAATCAAGATGGGACCAATTGCTTTGTGCATTGGAGCTCTGGTTATTATAAGCCTTACACATTGGGTTTACCGTTGGAGGAATCCGAGATGCAATGGAAAACTCCCTCCAGGTTCAATGGGCTTGCCGCTCCTCGGCGAGACTCTTCAGTTCTTTGCACGAAACACTTCCTTCGACATTTCTCCCTTCATTAAAAAGAGGATGGAAAGGTAATATTATGAAGTACAGGCAACCAAACAAACATGTTAAAAGAGTATATATAGAACTCAAACATGGAAAGAAAGTTACAGTAATATTTATCAGCATCCTCATCTTTTCTTCTTATAATGTAAACTTTTTGGCTATTACTTTTCAGATATGGGCCAATATTCCGAACCAGTTTGGTGGGACAACCACTAATTGTATCCACAGACCCGGATCTCAATCACTTCATTTTTCAACAAGAGGGGCAACTTTTCCAGAGCTGGTATCCAGAAACCTTCACGGAAATCTTTGGACGACAGAATGCAAGTACGTTGCATGGGTTTATGTATAAATACCTCAAGTGCATGGTGCTGAATCTATTTGGTCATGAAAGCCTGAAAAAAATGATTCCTGAAATTGAACAAGCAGCATGTACAAACTTAAAGAGGTGGTCGAGTCAGCACACTGTTGAATTAAAGGATGGAACTGCAAGTGTAAGCCTGAAGTCTTCTATTCAGATTAGAAATTCACCGGCATTTCGTCATTTCGACTAGTCTACTAATAATTGTGTGTTTACAGATGATATTTGATCTGACTGCAAAGAAACTGATCAGTTACGATCCAGAGAAGTCCTCAGAAAATCTGAAGAATAACTTCGTTGCTTTCATACAGGGATTAATCTCCTTCCCTTTAAACATTCCTGGAACTTCTTACCACAAATGTTTACAGGTATATCAAAACCTCACACATTAATTCATTCTATTTTAAATTATTAGGCGCGCATCTGGAAAACCTGGTCCACCATTGGTTTTGAATCTTACGAGTTTCTTCAGGGAAGGAAGAAGGCAATGAGGATGCTGAAGGACATGCTTAAGGAGAGACGGGCAAATCCTAGGAAGCACCAAATAGATTTCTTTGACTATATCCTTGAAGAGCTTGTGAAAGAGAATACAGTCCTTACAGAAGCAATTGCTCTGGATTTAATGTTTGTGCTACTGTTTGCCAGCTTTGAGACAACTTCACTCGCTCTAACTTTAGCCACCAAATTTCTTTCGGACCATCCTTTGGTGTTGAAGGAATTAACAGTCAGTAAAATTAACCATGACAACCTTTATTAATTATGTCGTTCACATCCTATCTTATTACTCCAGTTGACATGTTCAAAACGTTCCCTGCAGGAGGAACATGAGGCAATTCTAAGAAGACGGGAAAATGTGGACTCTGGACTTACATGGGAAGAATACAAATCAATGACGTTTACATTTCAGGTGGGTCGACAAGAAGTCTCTTTTTTTAGTCTCGAAAGGAATTAATTCTATGGATATATATTTTTCTAATTCTAACGATCATTAAAATTGCAGTTTATTAATGAAACAATCAGGCTGGCCAATATAGCTCCAGGGATTTTCAGAAAAGCACTAAGAGAAATCAAGTTTAAGGGTATGTATTTACAATTGATAAGCCAATTTCTTATAAAATAAACAATCACAATTACTTTAACATACCTTAATATGAAATGCGGATTGGTGCAGGCTATGCCATTCCAGCTGATTGGGCGATTATGGTCTGTCCTCCGGCTGTACACTTAAACCCTGACAAATAACTTCAATCCATGGAGATGGGAGGTAATTAAGTATTCTCTCTTTAATTATTCTCTTTTATACAGTACTTTTATAAATTCCCTCCACTTTTTACTTCTCTTTTATACAGTACTTTTTGCAATATTTGCTTATTCCATCTTTTAAGTCTTTCAATTTCAATCGTAATTATCATAAATGTACTGACCGACCCATTTCTCCTTACATTTCCCAACCAAGTTTAATGACCAAATTGTGAAACATAAACGAGAGTGGTAAATTCTCTGAGATCATCGTATCAGAAAATATAAAGATAAATAGTATTACTTTGATGAACGGTTAGGATCATCTGAGATCTGGATGGTTTTATCGTACAAGTCACAATCAATTGCAACCATAATATTAAGATCGGGGAGTTTGAGAAATAAAAAATAAAAATAAAAAGTACGATCATCTGAGAATTGTAAAAGAAGAATCCAACCTTTTAATCTGTTTCTCAATATTTTTAATCTTATTTTCAGTACTTTTATTTTTTTTTTTTCTCAATACTTTTAATTTTTTTTTCAACACCTTTTAATCTTGTTCTCGATACTTTTAATATTACCTTAACACATTTTAATTTTATTATCAACAGCTTTAATTTTGTTTTCAACACATTTTAAACTTATTATCAACAACTTTAATATTGAGAAAATTATTCTCTCTTTAATTAATCTTAATTATTTCCGGTAGTTCGCTGCTAGTAGAAAAACTTATTTTCGGCCATGCTTGAATCTATTGTTCTTTCTTTTAAATTCTCGTATTGTACAATAAATGACGGCATGCACACAGGGAAAGGAGCTGAATATTGCATCTAAACAATTCATGGCCTTTGGAGGGGGCATGAGATTTTGTGTGGGAGCAGATTTCTCCAAGGTGCAAATGGCTGTATTTCTCCACTGCTTGGTTACAAAGTACAGGTAATTAAGAGCATCATCTATTCATATATTGTATAAGCAATAACCAACTTTGTATGTGTGTGTGTGTGTGTGTGAAAGAGAGAGAGAGAGAGAGAGAGAGAGAGAGAGAGGCTAACCTATGTTACATCTGAAATTGTCAGGTTCCAAGCAATCAGAGGAGGAGACATTGTCCGGACTCCTGGTTTACAATTTCCGAATGGCTTTCATATTCAGATCTCTCAGAAAAATAAGCAACAGGAAACAACATCCAACTCTATTCTATCAAACCTGGATTATGCACCACCAACTCACTTGTATGGCTGATGCTATTTTTCGTTCTTGATGTTGACTGCTACTGTTCTTATTATTAGGTTTTGGGTTTACTGGAAATGGGCTTCCAGTTATGTAATTTAGGGGGTATGCCTCCTCCTTGTGTTGTATTCTATTTCTTGTTTTTATAAAAGCATGCCATTCAAGGGGAGAAAAAAAAAAAAAAATGTCTGCAATTTTATCACTGTATCTGATAAATTTGGATTCTCTTTCTTTTTTGCGTCTACAGTGACCATTGTCATTCTTCCCTTTCTGCAAGTAGACTTGTTGTACGAAGAACTCTTGGTTCAACCATGTTTGCACTTGTCCTTGTGAATGAACGAAGACTGTTATATGGACTTTAAAAATGAAGTGAAGTACTCGTGTCGGACACATATTTATTCGAACATGAATATGAGATATGTGTCAAATATTTTGGATTAGGCATTTCCTTCAAAAACAAATACATTCATTCAAATTTATTATATTATTATTTATTAAAATCAATTAAATTTATATATTGAACACTATGTTAAATAAAAAGATTATTTTCTCAAAGAAAATAAAATAAATTAATATTAGGCGGTGTCCATGCGTCCTTCGGTTTGAAGATTTGAAACGTATGATGCATGGATGTATAACCGTACATGATACACACCTGAGTCGATGTAACATATGATGAAGATAATAATGATAATCAATTAATAAAAAATCAAACTGACCGTTAAAATTTCATTATTGAGGTGAACTAAAAGAAGACATGAACTGCATATCACAAATTGAACATAACAAGAATAAAGTGATCTCAAATTCATAATTTACATAAGAAGAGGTGGTTGAAGGTACGAATAAAAGAACAAGAGTTACTTGCCTCTCGCATAAATTAACAACATCTGCACCAGCATCTGGCTCACATTTGTGTGTCTTACATAATACACCTGGGGTGCTACCTTTGCCTTATTCACATATGTGTGTCTTACATAATATGGTGACAAAATGTAATTTCCATATTCTCCGTGTTTCGTGGGATCACTTGATTGTTTGGGCTTTGCACCACTAGAAGAAGAAAACCCTCCAAAATTCAGTCAACAAACTAGCATTTGCATTGTCCACTGGTGTGAATCAAATTTGGATGGAACATAATGCCATAGCCTTCTTTAAAGCAAGAAATTCGACTCAATGGGCAGTTTTAGCAAGCATCGGTGATCTGATCCGGTACAGGTTATCATCAATGAGGGTGAAGGACTCCATTTGTAGAACCTCCAATGAATGCCTTGTATGTGAATGCATATTGAGCAGGGTGCAAAAATATGTAACGTAATGAATTGTTGATTGGTGCATTGGACAACCCAATGTGTAGCTCATCCACATAGGTTGCTACAATCATCCTTCGATGTGGTACAACATTAATCCACCACGTGATATGATATTGTCAGTATTCACTTGAACCCGTGTGATTTTATTTTTGAGTTTTACTCCAAAAGATCTCATATCATTAGGAGATAGCATCGGTATATATAAGTAATTCATCTTCATCTTCACCTGATCTAGACAATTTGGGATCACTACAATTTTGTAAAGACCCAATCCATCACATAGTACAATAGTGTCCACTTTGAGCCCGATCTGCATGGTTTTTTTTCTAATGATGTGCGATTGTTCAATTTATAACTCGAGGTAAAGGTGAAGTGGTTAAATTTGCTGGTACCATCTCCAAATTGTATGAAGTCTTGTAGAATAAAACTAAAGAAGAAAAAAAAAAATCGCGCTGACTCAAATAAAATGCGAACAATAACACACCGTTTGATGGAGTGAGTTTGGTGCCATTGGAAGAAAGTGAATATATATAGTTCGTTGTCTCTCTTGGGAACCTAATTCTATACTTATTCAACAATCAGTTTATTCTCTCTTGGTTTCTTCTCTATGTCCTTCGCATATTTAAAATACGATACATTCTCATGAATTTATCTTTATCTCAACACACACTTTCTTGTACCAGAAAGTAAGTACAGAATTCTAAAATTTTCACACTTCAAGCTTCTCTTGCCGCCTTCTAAATTTTCTCAATTCAAGATGGGACCAATTGCTTTGTGCAAAGGAGCTCTGGTTATTATAAGCATTACACATTGGGTTTACCGCTGGAGGAATCCGTTATGCAATGGAAAACTCCCTCCAGGTTCAATGGGCTTGCCCCTCCTCGGCGAGACTCTTCAGTTCTTTGCACCCAACACTTCCTCAGATATTCCTCCCTTCATTAAAAAGAGGATGGAAAGGTAATATATAACTTTTATAGAGGAGACAATGTTACAAACACGCTAAGTGAGAGACTAGCAGAGTTTACAAATAGATAAAGAGTGTTAGAGAATCCGTACTTAACCGATAAGTGTGGCTTGTTGGCGGTTGCATATATTCAGAATTTACCTAAAAGCCACAAGTTCAAAAGGCTGGTGGTTGTGAGGTTCCGCATCAAAAAAATATATAGATATATATATATATAGGGAATCTGTTCATAGGCAAAGACATAGAAGTCAATACTTCCCTATATATTGCAACTGCTAAGCTATATAGACTCATTATAACCAACAGACAAACATGTTAACAGAGTAGCGCAATCTTTATCAGCATTCTCATCCTTCTTCTTATAATGTAATTTTTTACTATTATTTTTCAGATATGGGCCAATATTCCGAACCAGTTTGGTCGGACAACCAGTAATTGTATCCACAGACTCGGATCTTAATTACTTCATTTTTCAAAAAGAGGGACGACTGTTCCAGAGCTGGTATCCAGATACCTTCATGGAGATCTTGGGACGACAAAGTGTGAGTTCCTTGCATGGGTTTATGTATAAATGCCTCAAGAGCATGGTGCTGAATCTTTTTGGTCATGAAAGCCTGAAAAGGATGATTCCTGAAGTTGAACAGACAGTATGTAGAAACTTAAAGAGGTGGCCGAGTCAGCACACAGTTGAATTGAAGAATGCAACTGCAAGTGTAAGCTTATGCAATCTGATATTTTCTCTTCGAATTAGAAATTCACCAACCCTTTGTCATTACGAGTCTGCTAACATTTCTGTGTTTACAGATGATATTGGATCTGACTGCCAAAAAACTAATCAGTTATGATTCAGAGAAGTCATCAGAAATTCTGTGGAAGAACTTCGTTGCTTTTCATGCAGGGATTAATCTCCTTCCCTTTAGATATTCCTGGAACTGCTTACCACAAATGTCTACAGGTATATCAAAATCGTCCACACTAATCTTGATCATTTAAATCACATTAATTCATTCTACTTTAAATTATTATGCATCCGGAAAAGCTGAAAATATGGCTAGTTAAGACTGAATTTTTCCAAGCATAGATTGGCAGATTGAAATTGTTTGGTAAACTAGAAGATATTGTAATGCCAATTCTTAGTCAAAAACTGTTTAATGCGGTAAATTATTTTCAACATTGGTTTCCAAAAAAACCTGGTCCGCCATTAGTTTTGAATCTTCTGAGTTTCTTCGGGGAAGGAAGAAGGCAATGAGGATGCTGAAGCACATGCTTGAGGACAGACGAGCAAATCCTAGGAAGCAACAAAGTGATTTCTTTGATTATATCCTTGAAGAGCTTGTGAAAGAGAATACAATCCTTACAGAAGCAATTGCTCTGGATTTAATGTTTGAGCTACTGTTTGCCAGCTTTGAGACAACTTCCCTCGCTCTAACCTTTGGCACCAAATTTCTTTTGGACCATCCTTTGGTGTTGAAGGAAATAACAGTCAGTAAAATTAATGCCTCTTTCACTATGACAACCTTTATTATGTCTTCACATCCTATCATATTACTCCAGTTGACAAGCTCAAAATGTTCTCTGCAGGAAGAACACGAGGCAATTCTAAGAATACGGGAAAATTCGGACTCTGGAGTTACATGGGAAGAATACAAATCAATGACATTTACATTTCAGGTGGGTCAAGAAGTCTCTTTTTTCTCTTAAAAGCTATAAAAGAATTAATTCTATGGGTATTTTTCTAATGCTGACTCTCATTAAAATTGCAGTTTATCAATGAAACAATCAGGCTGGCCAATATAGCTCCATTGATTTTCAGAAAATCGCTAAAAGAAATAAAGTTTAAGGGTATGTATTTACAATTGATAAGTCAATATCTAAAAATGACAACATTGAATTTTATAAATTAGCAAATCGCAATTACTTTAACATACCTTAATATGAACTTCGGATTGGCACAGGCTATACCATTCCAGCTGATTGGGCGGTTATGGTCTGTCCTCCAGCTGTACACTTGAACCCTGACAAATTTAAGGATCCCCTTGACTTCAATCCATGGAGATGGAAAGTAAGTAGAGTACTGCAAATTTACCTGCTCTTTAATTAATCTTAATTATTGCAAGTAGTTCACTGCCAATAAGAAACTTATCGTCCATGCTTAAATCTATTGTTCTTTCTTTTAAATTCTCATGTAGTATGATAAATAACGGCACACAGGGAATGGAACTGAATCTTACATCTAAACAATTCATGGCTTTTGGAGGGGGCGTGAGATTTTGTGTGGGAGCAGATTTTGCTAAGGTGCAAATGGCTGTATTTCTCCACTGTTTGGTGACAAAGTACGGGTAAGAGCGTCATCTATTCAGGTATTGTATAAGCAACTTTGTATGAGAGAGAGAGAGAGAGAGAGAGAAGCTAACCTATTTTACATCTGAAATTGTCAGGTGGCAAGCAATTAGAGGAGGTGGCATTGTCCGGACTCCCGGTTTACAATTTCCAAATGGCTTTCATGTTCGGATCTCTGAGAAAAATAAGCAACAGGAAACAGCATCCAACTCTATTTTATCAAACCTGGATTATGCACAGGCAAGTCACTTGTATCGCTGAAGCAAAACACCAAGAGGTTCCAATATTCTATGCTTGTACTTGTAATTTTCGTCTTGGTTGAAATGCATCTCTGCATTACGGGACATCAGCTCAGCCTTATTCCACAGCCAATGCCATTGTTTGGGATGTTCTTCATCATTTTAATTTTAATTTAGCAGACTTTCACTTGCTATTTTTCATTCTTGATGTTGGCTGCTAGTGTTCTTGTTATTAGGTTTCGGGTTAACTGGAAATGGGCTTTTTCCATTCCAGTTTTTTAATTTAGGGGGTATGCCTCCTCCTTGTGCTGTAATTTATTTGTTGTTTTTATCAAGTCATCCCTTCAGGGGGAAAAAATGTCTGGGCTTTTATCACTATGTATGATAATATTGGATTCTCTTTCTTTTTTGCGTACAGGGACCATTGCCTTTCTGCAAGTAAACTTGCTGCGAGATACTAGAACTCTTGGTTTGACCATGTTTGTACTTTCTTTTTTTTTTCGAAAATTAGACCATGTTTGTACTTGTCCTTATGAACATGGTGAAGATAATAATGATAATCAATGTACATTTTGAATAAAAAATCAAATTGGCAAGTTAAAATTTCATCAATGAGGTGAACTAAAAAATACAGGAACTACATATCACAAATTGAACATAACAAGAATAAAGTGATCTCAAATATCATCTTAAATGTCATGTTGAACTCTTAAAAAAAAAAAATGCATGTGAACTGTAAACACAAATCCTAACCTTAAAATGGCACAATTACATCGAAACCAAACAATATGTATAACAAGATTAACACTTAACAAGTAACGTGATCTTAAGTTCAAAATTTACATATGAAGAGGTGGCTGAAGATTCAAATAAAAGAACAAGAGTTACTTGCCTCATATATTCACAACATCTGCACCATAATCTGGCCCACATTTGTGTGTCTTAACATAATACTCCTGGGGTTTATAAGAAACATCTTAGAGACAATAACAAACTGAACAGGTGACATTAAAAGGAGTGAAAATCAGAGACTTGAAAGAGAAAAAAATAATAATCTAAAACAACACAAAAAATTTAATGCTCCCAATACAAACATACATTTGTAAAAATCAGTATCACCATATAGCATATATAATACTGCTTCTTTGTTTTTTTTTTTTTTTTTTTTTTGATAAATTAAAATATTTAGAAAAAACGTTCAAAAGGGGAACGTGTCCCTAATACAAGAAGAAAAAAGATCTAAGGACCAATAGCATCCAAAAGATCAAAGAAATCATCAATCGAGGAGCATGTGCTTCCTCTTACATAACAGAACAGAGAATGAAGAAAATGAATTTTTAAATTAGCTAAAGACGATTCTTTTCCTTCAAAGGTTCTGTTATTCCTCTCACACCATAAACACCACCAGACACAATGTGGAACAATCCTCCAATAATCACGAGCTTGTTCTTTAACAGGACATCTTCTCCAGGCGTTAATCAATTGTGAGGAGTGCTTAAGCATTACCCAAAAAAGGCCAAACATGCCAAAAATAAAACTCCAACAATCATACGCCACAGGGCAATGAATATGATCCACGGATTCACTATCTGTTTTACAAAAACAACACCAATTAATAATGATGTTGCCTCTCTTTCTCAAGTTGTCCAATGTCAAAATCTTTCCCAATGTGGCAGTCCAAACGAATAATGCAATTCTAAGAGGAGCTTTAGAACGCCAAACAGACTTTCATGGGAACTCGTGACCAACGAAGTTGGACAAACACAAAAACATGGATCAGACACCATACCTACCATGAGCTAAAGTAACCCACAAAATATCATCACCCTCTGCCAACATCCTTCTACCTATACAACGTATTTAAAAAAACACAAGCTTCCTCCATTTCCCAATCCTGAAAGGGGCGCCTTAAACGCGCATCCCACGTAACTCCATTGTTATCAAGTTGATAACAATCAATTACATAAACATGCTTATTGACTGCAATACTGTAAAGTCTAGGAAAGGAGTGAGACAGCAACTGATATCCGCACCAAAGGTCCTCCCAAAAACAGATATGTCTGCCATCACGAGCTTTGAATCGAATGTGTGAGGAGAAAACATCCCATCCCTTCCGAATGAATTTCCACACTAACGCCTCTCATAATAGTGACTGGGAGAGAGGACCAGCCCCCACTCTCCTCACCAAAACGACACGAGACAACTCTTCTCCACTGGCGATGACGTTCCTTTCCAAACCTCCATAACCACTTTCCCAAGAGAGCACAATTAAAAGGGACCATTTTTCGAATGCCTAACCCGCCTAACCTCAACGGTTGGCAGACTTGATCCCAATTAACAAGATGATACTTAAACTCCTCTCCCCTTCCACCCCAAAGAAAATCCCTCTGAAATCCTTTCAGAAACAGAGCATGGAATTTGAAACAAAGATAAAAAGTAGGTAGGAAGGGACAAGAGAGTACTCTTAATAAGTGTGACTTTCCCCCCTTAAAAAGATACTGTTTTTTCCATTCTGCTAATCTTTTCTCATATCTATTAATCACTGGGTCCCAATTACGAACTCGTGTATAAGAAATTCCCAAAGGCAATCCTAAGTAAGGAAGAGGAAAAACACCAACTCCACACCCTAGGACAGCAGCTAAAGAGGAAATATCTAGAACATCCCCCACTGGAACAAGCAAACTCTTTACAACATTAATCTTTAGCCTAGAAACCGCTTGGAAGCAAGCAAGAATGCACATCAGATATCTGAGTTGAGAAACTTCGGCATCACAAAAAACCAAAGTATCATCCGCAAACAACAAATGGGAAATCTGCATCTGATGATCAACATCTCTGCCAACTCTGAAAATCATTACTTCAAATTTTGCTTAATTACTTCTAATCTTTTCAATAAGAATTCCATTACTCCTCGATGACCATGTAAATAACAAAAGCAATCAAGCACCATGAGAATGTACTGTAAACTACGAAAAAAAATGCAAAAAAATATATCAACCAGGTCCCATTTGGATGCACATTCTCTTACATTTTTTAATTAAAAAACGAGATTTGAAGGTGCAAGCTTTTAAGAAATTAAAATACGAAATAAAAAACCCGATAACAAAAACTATTAAAAACACCCAAAATCACTAATAAATGAGTAGTACAAAAATTAATGATCAACATAATTTGGACATACTCGTATATATGTCTGCTCATAAAGTGCATAGGCAGCGGATTTGTTCACCATTATCACCGGCGGAATTCTTAGGGTTCGCATGTCTGTGTGTGTATATATATATTGCCCTATATATCTCAATAATTTTAGTGAGAGAACGAAAAACACTTACTGATTCACTTGGGACGGCCATGCCAATGAGGATCTTGGTTGTGCAATTGAGGGTACTGGAATAGGAAACGTTTTCGCACTTTTCAAGCTTTGATTTGGACGCCCAAGACGGGGAGTGAAGAGGGAGATGAAAGAGAAAGTATAAGAGAAGATGATTGATCGAGTGAGGGTTCTCATTTTGGGAACTGTTTGGCGCGTCGATTGTTAATGGCAGAACTGTCCAGTAACGATGTAGTTGGGAAGTTTAGGGTGTGTTTGGTAGGGTTGATTTGGAGTGATAGGGCGAGAAAAGAAAGGAGAGGACAGTGTAAGTTTGTATTTGGGTAACTTAAGTAGAGGGATAGGAAGAGAGAGGGAGGGATAGCTATCCTTCCTTATCTCTTATTTGTTTTTTCTTCAATTTTGAAAAAATAGGGAGAGATATGGAAAGCAAGCATAGTGATTTTAAATAGTATTTTGATAATACCAAAATTAGCCTCTATAAATTAATATACAGATTTATTTTTTCATTCAAATCTCATGGTTATGAAAGGGTAAAAAAGTAATTATTCCATTCAAGTCCCATGGTTATGAAAGGGTAAAAAAATAACTTGCTTATTATCCTTTCTTTTCTTATCCGAACAAAAATAACTATCATTTCTTTTCTTTTTTCCTATATCTATCCAAACACAAATAGAAATTACTATACTATCATTTCTTTTCTTTTCTCTCGTAACTAATACTATATACAAGGGGCGGTTTTGGTGGGGTGTCATGGTAACTATTCAGATTTTCCAAACATGGCCTTCTCAAAATTAAATTACTCCAATAAGTTTTGGCATATCTTAACAAATTTAATTGTGTTTAGTGTTTAAGATGAGATCTTTCATTCTTAGGCTGTAGAAAATAACGTATCAGTACCTTCAGCTTAGCATTTTAATTTATAAATTTCCTTTTACAAAAAATAAAAAGGATATAAAAATAGAAAGGAAAACACAATATCAAAATTAACCTTTGGATTCCATAATTTGAGTAGAGTTTGAAAACTAGCTATGTGGAGGTCCATAAAATTAACCTTTGGTTTTTAAATCAGGGTTGAAAGGTAGAGGAACAATGAATCACTCTTATCTTTTCTGCGCGGGATAGGGCAAGGAGAGTAAGAAAAACAAAGGGAGTAATATTTTTTTGATGTTTGGTTATCATAAAATATCTACGAAGGAGAAAAAAATAAAATTTAACAAAACTAATTTATTCATTAATTTTTGACAAATTATTTGTCTCGTCCAATGGACTTGATTTTAACCTCGATCTAAATTTTTGTGAAACTCCAAAAAAAAAATATATATATATATATATATATTATCTGAAAAAAAAATTATTTTCAAAAGAAATACGTAGTAATTTTTAGTTGAAACCAGGGAAGTCTAGTCAACACGTGTGAGTTTTTCCATACTGTTGATTTCTGTTACATTTGGGCCTCAAATCCTCGAGCCAATTTTGAAATTCACAAGTACACTCATTGATCCAAAAGGAATATACGAAAATTTGGGCTTTGGATAACCTTAGCCCTAATAGTGTCCTCTTTTTTTTATTTTTTCTTCTTCTTCTGTTTCCAGTAAACAAGCCTCAATGACCTGAAAGTGTGTTAACGGTTTTCACTAGTTTTGATAGGTCTGATTTTCTACCACGATGGGTCTTGTAGTCATGATTCATGATCTGGGCCACGAATACATATATATGTTTGATAATCAAAAGAGTTAGAATAAGTTTTAAAAATAATAAGAAGAAAAAAAATTCTTTTTTAAAATATGATAAAAAGAAATTTATAGGTGCAAGTGGTTCTTGAAAATTGTATATGCAATTTATTTAAAAGGATTGCAACTAGAGTCATTATGAAAGTAAAATCACATATTGCACTCTTCCTATGCAAAAAAAAACACCCTTAAACTATATAAAAAAATATTTTGTTAAATTAATAAAAGAGTATGGCCGTGGTTGCCGCCGCAAGGGAAGGGAAGATTGGAGAAGACCCGTCATGCATAGGCGACATCTGCCTTCGCCGCCGCCACCTAGTTCTATTCTTTCCGGTGAGGCTCCAAGTACCTAAACCCAGTTCACGTTTGCGTGTTCCCAAGCGACGACGACAAAGCACTGGTGAGTTCCTAGTATCGGCGACATCCGCCATCGCCATCACCGTCACCACCCACACAATCCCAATCCCAACCCAACACTCATCAGAGGATTGATTCCTCAACTTGTCTGAGAAAGTGTATGTATATTATATATATATATATATAAAGAGAGAGAGTAGGGGATGGATGGATATATTTCAAAAAGATGAGAGGAAAAAGAAATTAGTATTGAGAGATTCAAGGGGATGAATGCGTTTAATGGATGGCAGATTGTTTGGTCCAAATTGGGACTACCATAATTGGTCATTGATATATTTTACAATCTGTTCCGAAGAGCTTTCCATAAAATTCCTCCAGATTGAAAGAAAAAAATTCATTAAGATAATTAAATAGATCAGAACAATTGATTTATATACATATGATGGGGTTCTTCTATTTTTTTACTAATCTATGTAAGATTGAGATTTTAAATGATTCAAAACTAAATGATTCAAACCCAATTCAGCAGTGTTACAATTGTTAAAGTTCAAGAACAGTTTGCAATTGCGAGTTTAGGACTAAAAATACACACATATATAATACAGGAAAGTGCAAAAAACACCTCTAAAATATACCTTTCATAACCACTTTTACCTTTTATTTAAAAAGGGGTGCAAAAAATACCTCTATTGTTTTCAATTTGTGCAAAAAACACCTGCACCAACTACTATATTTTAGTCATAAATGTGTGAGTAGGACCAATTTGCACAAATGTCATAGTTTATGAATATTTTTTGTACGTGAATGGTGCAATATGCACTATAAGTATAATATAAAGATGTTTTTTGCACTTGACTCTATATAATACATATGTGATTCTCTTACTAAAAAAAGCTTCAATCTCATCAACTCGCTTTGCCCAATGGTTGCGGTTTTGGGGTGGAGAGTAAGATTTGGCAAGGGCATTTTTTTAAAAGTAAAATAAATATTATATTAATTGAGATGTGTTTTTGTAGAAATTAAAAAGAATAAAAATATTTTTTATACATTTTTTTTTAAATTAATATATTATGAAAGACATACTTGAAGGATATTTCTTTACACTTATTTTTATATATATTTATTCATAACATAAAGTCAAAGAGAGAATGTATCTTAGACTTGGGTGTTGAGGATGGCGAGGCTGGATTTTACGATATTTAATAGTAATATCATCCATGCAGCGAAAATGACATATAATTACCACCAACTACTGTTTGAAAGTTTGAATACCATGGACATTTCATTGCATTAAATTAAGGTTGAGTAGGAGCAGAGAATTTTGACTTTAGCAGTACATGAACCGCTGCAAGTAAGTACTTGAATGTCTGACTCTTACCATTTGTTTCCAAAGACTTCCGACAATGTCTGGTCTGACCACTTTCCGAAAAAAAAAAATATGTGGTGTGACCAATTTCCAAAAAAAAAAAATATGTGGTGTGACCCCACTTGACTCGTTCAACCAAACCAGGCTCAACCGACTTTGTTTCTTGGCTTTCAACCGTGATCATAGGGCCCACAACATTCTAGATGCCACGTGTCATTACTACACGTCACAATTTAACTCGGACCAATGCCATGGCAGCGCCGTAGCCCAAGGCCCAGTTTTGGTTGAGATGGGGAACCTGGGGTTTAAAAAACTAATTGTAATCCGTCCCGATCTTCTTTTCTGAAAATTTAATTTTTTAATATACTAAATTTTAATATTTTTTATTATAGTAATAGTTAATGAATTATTAAATTTATTTATAGTAAGTTCACAATATATAATAATTTATTTTTTATAAATTTAATGCAAAAAAATTAAATCGATAATATTATTAAAACAAATAGCTCTTTAATTTTTTAATGTTGACATTTATTTTGAGACAGTCAAAAATTAAAAAGATGAATATTTATTTTAGAATGGAGGAACTCATTAAAAAATATATAATAAAAAAAATCATTCCATTTCTTTCATATAGTCTGCCATTTAAAAAAAAAAAAAAAAAAGTCAAAATTTTTATTATTATTATTTTTTTGTCATCCATTAATCAACCCAACACACTAAAAAATTGACACAAATTTTTGCCTTGTGTTTAGGAACAGCGCTAAGATTTTAGTTTAGGGAGAACACAGTGTTAAGAAAAAAAAAATTATTTAAATGAGTAGAAGGAAAAAATATATATATAAGAAAAAGAGAAAGAAAATGATAATTTAAAAAAATAAAAATAAAATTTAACTCTTTTTAAAAAATTAATTTTAAAAACTAATATATGCATAGTGGACGGGCCAAGGCCAGGGACATACACCGACTCCACCCTGCATGTGTTATCAATTACTGTATTTTCTTTTTACCTTATTATAAAGGCTCAAAGTTAAAGGGCAATCACTCAATAGTTAAAGGGCGTATTATACAGTACTATTTTCGTCGGCGAAAGGATTTATGTATAAAAAGGTCGGTGATGCATATTTTTTTTTTTTTTTTGAAAAGTGTGATGTATATATTTTGTTCTGTCTTATCCATCCGATCTGCATAATGCAGATGGAAGTCTGTTTCGTTATGTTTGACCACGTGATTCTTTCCCTCGCTCAGTGAATGCCAAAAAAAATAAGGAAAATAGCAAAATGTTTGTATATGCATACACGTGTAATATGTCTCTATAGCATCTCTGTCCCTGAACTGATATCCCATTTACAAATCTTTTCATAAGATTCGTTCTCAGACAGTCACTGTTTTCTTTTCATAAGATACGTTCTCAGACAGTCACTGTTAATTCTTTTTTATATATATAACACACACACACTAAGGGTGTAAAAAAAAAAAAAAACTGGAACTAGAACTGGAATCGGAATTAGACCTGAAATTGTGAGAATTGGAATCGAATTTTCGGTTCTCACAGTTTCAGTTACTCCTGAATTAAAGAATCGTTAAGATTCGATTCGGTTCTGGAACTGAACCGAACCAAAATATATATATATATATTATATATAGTTATACTTGTGGGTTACCGCCTGTGCCGTTGTGGGCTGTGCCGTTGTAACTTAAAAGTCTAAAACCTGAGTCACTAACCACATATTCATTATTCAGATTATCAATTTATCAAATATTGGATAAAATATTAAAAATTAAAATCACGACAAAAGTATCAAAACTCAAAACCTAAACCTAACCTCTCAAACTCACTCGGCGGCTCTGCCTCCCATCCTCTCCTCTCAGCCTCTCGGCCCTCTCACTGGTCTCTATCTTCTCGAATCGATCAAATCGGTCTTTGTCTCTGTTGGGAAACGTGCTAATTTTAAAAACTTTTCGAGGAATTTAAATTCATAAATCTTGATTCATTACATAGAGACAAGTTTTATGCAAAAATAAAACATGATGTATCATTCAATTAAAAGATTGAATACTTACATCAAAGTTTGAGTAAACCTTAAATCTCTCCTCTAAAGTGAATGTTCTCACTTATTGTAGATCCCTTAACAAGATGCATTATTCTTGAATCTCCATCTTCTTGGTAATTGTTTTGCCTTTAGGAATCACTCATATGCCTCCATGAATGACCTTGGAAAATTAGGCTTGTGGGAGCCTCCATTAGATGAGAACATAAACCCTAATTTTCTAGAGAGAGAAAATATATTCCTTTTTCCTTCTACTAAAAATCACACCTAAAATATACATAGACCATGTATATTTATAGGCAACATAAAGGTAAAGAAAAGGAAACAACTAATCCTTCTCAATCTCTAATTCACATGTCTCAAATCTAATATGATTCCAATATCAAGTTGGGCTATGAGTGAGAATCCATTGGGCCTATTATTTTATTGGCTACAATGAATTAATAATTGGCCCGGTCCATGGACCCAATTCAATTAATTCATAAATTAATTTCTACTCCACTAAAAGAAATTAATTGAACTCCAATTAAATAATAAATAACCTCTAAGCCAATATTGCACTTTGACCCCTCTATACATAATTAGTTATCGGACAAATAAAGCCATCAATCCGACTACTTAATTAATATATTTATTTTGGTACCTTTGATTATTTCTGGCTCGATCACAATAAAACATTTGTTTGACCAAAATAATAATTTAAATAAATAAATATATAATAAATTATTTTGTCTAAAAATATACGAAGGCCTTCGAATTTACTTTGTGATCAACCATAATCAATACAAAATAAATACAAGTAGCAATGATGCAAATATTGAAAATATAACCCTCTAACTATTAATTACATAACTACCCAAAGTATCGGTCTAAGGATCCCGAAGAATCCGCCGAACAAATCAAAATAATTATTAATTAATAAAAGAGTCTATAATTTTCTCATACTTAAGAGTCAAATGCCATGACGGTGATAGGGAGCAATTGCATACGACGGCTCTCGCAATATATCTCAACCTAACGTGGATCCAGTTCAAATCTTAATTAATTATAAGTCCATCCATAATTACCGACTATGAACCATTTATAATTACTATTTATATATCATGCATTGATTGCTATCGCAAACATATATATAAATATCTCTTGTAATCAAATGGATACTATCAATTCTATAATGAATCGAAATATAATACATTGAATTCACCAATTGTATAAAACATAAATATTTCATAAACGTCAGGAACATATGTCACTTTAATCCAAACAGGAATTTGCTATATAAATCCCAACAGTCTCAGCCTCTCCTCTCAGCTTCTGATTTAATTAAGTCAATTTTATGAAGGTTTTCTGACGCGAAGGGAGTGTTCGAGAAAATCGGTGAGAACGTCGGCGTTTGTGACCGATGATCGGCGACTGGAGCCAATCGGAGATGGAGGTGGTGCTCGGAAATCGACAACATTTTCTGGCAATAGTTGAGGCGAAATTGCCATAATTGGATATAGTAGTTAAGAGGTGAGTGATAATGTTTAATTACTTGGCTGTCTCAGCCTCTGATTTAATAAAATAGTTTCTCCTCTCAGTCTCTGATTCAATCACTTCTACTCAGATCTTCGCCTCTCCTCTCAGCCTCTCCTTCCAGTCTCAGTTTGGTTAACGGTTCCATTACTCACAGTTCCGGTTTCGGTTCCATTTTTTAGGAACCGTTCAGACCGATTCCGATTCCAGTTCCTGCTAGAACCGTACCGAACTGAACCGTGTGCACCCTATTATATACACACACATTTACATATAAGTATAGGCAATGAGGAAACCATGTGAATCCAAAAGACGGAAATGATGTCCATTGTCAGTCTATGGTTAGCAGTAGGACTAGCTGGATTGGCAGCGATCACAATCGCAGTGAAACAAATTCAAACAAAGTCTATGTAAATTGGTAGGTACAAAGGCATGTTGGACTTAAAAGGGGGGACTTAAACAAAGTTAGTATAAACTGACTAATACGGGTGTCTGGACTTAAAAAAAAAAAAAAAAAAAAAACTTGGGTGATAAGGATGGTTCTCAATACTCAGTACCTCTTAAAGTAGTTAGACAATCTTAGTATATGTGACTCACATGACAACTATTTTGGGATAGAATTGGTATCAATTATGTTGTGTGAAGTTTGGAGCACTCAATTTGGGCGACTAAAGTATTATTTTTTTATTATTTTAACTTCAAAATAATAATCTATCTACCCAAATTAATTATACACTTCGAAAACCTTGACTCATTACTTTTTATTTTTTAGTTATATTTCTTTTATATATTATCACCATCTCATATTAGATGTTCTTTCGAGAATTTTGACTTACAAATTCTTATATTTCAAAATTGACATCTTATATGGAACAAATATAAATTTGATGCAATCAAATATAATCTAATTTTAAAAGTTAAAAATTATATGTTTCTTATTATGTTTTGTCCATAAAAAAAAGGGTAAAGTACATCCACACTCCCTGAGGTTTGGCAAAAGGACACTCAGCTGAAACTTAACTGTTTTTTTAGATAAACACAGCTCCTGAAGGTTTAAAAATGGACAAAGACACTCCTTTACATGAGAAATTGACCAAATTACCCTTTGACCTTTTAGGAGACTTTTTTAACTTTACAATTTAATAAACTGGACCAGTCTACCCTCATGAACAATTTATGCATAAAAAAAAAATGTAAAAAAAAAAAAAGCTTTATATTATTTACTTTTTTTTTTTTTTTTTTTTTTTTGTTATTTACTTTATAAATGTCCCAATTTCTTAAAAAAGTAGACGTCTAAAATGATTTTTTGATCTAATACATATATTTCAAATAAATTATATTTTGTTATTATTTCTTTTCTTTTTCTTTTTTACTTTTAAATTAAGATGTTTAATTCTTTCATCTAAAAAAATTAAATCAATCTCTTTTTTAAAAAAATAAAAAATATGGTACCAGTAAAACTTTATGCATCTTAAATTATATATAAAATATTATAAATTTCCCAACATAAAAGGGAAAAAAATAATAAAATAAAGAAAAAAAAAAAAAAAAAAAAAACAAACAAAGGCATGCATAAAGTTATACTGGTACCTATTTTCTTTTATGTTGAGAAATGCATAATATTTGATATATAATTTAAGATACATAAAGTTATACTGGTACCATATTTTTTATTTTTAAGGAAAAGAGATTGGTTTAATTTTTTTAGATGAAAGAAATAAGCATCTTAATTTAAAAATAAAAAATAAAAAGAAAAGAAGTAATAACAAAATATAATTTATTTGAAATATATGTATTGAATCAAAAAATTATTTTAGACGTCTACATTTTTTAGAAGTTGGGACATTTATAAAATAAATAACAAAAAAAAAATGAACAATATAATTTTTTTTTTTTTTTTATGCATAAATTATAGGGTAGATTGGTCCAATTTATTAAATTATAAAGTTAAAAAAGTCTCATAAACGGTCAAAAGGTAATTTGGTCAATTTTTCATGTAAAAGGGTGTCTTTGTCTATTTTTAAACCTTCATGTGGTGTCTTTGTCTAAAAAATAGGTAAGTTTTTTCTGAATATTTTTTTTGCCAAATCTCAAGAAGTGTGACTGTACTCTACTAAAAAAAAAAAATTGAAAAAACAAATACGGAACACAAGGAATACAAACAAGGGGTAAAATCAGAATCCATCGTTATTACGAATACGTCAATGTGGTGGCCCACCTGTTGTTGTCCATGATAAGTATAGAGTGGGGGACAGGGATAGAATGTTACAGCTATAGCTACAGTGATTCACTGATTTGGACCTTGTGGTGGCAATAAGGTAAATTTATCCTTCAATTTATACCATTATCATTTATCTCTTGTTTTTTTTTCCTCATTTATCTCTTGCTTCACGTCTAAAGAAAGTTTGAAAATTTAAATTTTAAAATTTAAAATTTAAAATTTAAAATTTAAAATATTTTTAAATGTTATTTGATTGAAATTTTTTATAAAAAGATCAGTTTGATTAAGGCTAAGTTAGTTTTGACTTAAAATATATATATATATATTTTTCTTATTCTTTTTTTAAGTAAAATAATTTTTTATTTTTATTTTTAAATATGTGTCAAAATTTTTTTATTCCAGATCAAGTCCATCCTACTTCATAACATTTGACCGTTTTAGTCTTTGCAAATTCACCAACCTTCTACGGAGTACTCTTTAATTTCACTTCTTCATTTTCGAGACTCGATCACATACCTTCTTTCTAAATTACAATGACATATATATATATATATATATAATTCTCTCTTTGCTTATAGCCTTATACTACACACCACTCTCCTCTCTCCACCAAACTGCTCACGCGAAACCAATTTCCAGAACCACCGTCACGTCAAGTCAACACCACTAACTCCCACTATCTGATGGGAAAAGCAGCCAGGTGGTTTCGCGGACTTTTTGGCCTCAAGAAAGAGGAGTCTCCGTCGCAGTCGGCGACCGACGCGACTCGCTCAGAACCAACGTCGGCAAAGAAGAGATGGGGCTTCGTCAAATCGCACAGAGAACAGGACTGCACTTGGAAGACCACCGGTCACCGGAGAAACTCCCGCGCCGATGTACCTCCCCGGAGTTCCGACGGGATCCCCGACGGCGGCGTTGATCCGAACGAGCAGGCGATCACGGCGGCGGTGAGGCCGACGAGCAGTGAGGGTTCTGATGATGTTAGTGCGAGCACCGTGGCGTACGTTAGCGGCGCCAGCTGTGGGATTCGTGAAGACTTGGCCGCTATTAAGATACAGGCGCATTTTCGAGCCTATCTGGTAAGTTTTCTTGTATTATGTATATTTCTTATTATTCTTCTTGTGTTATGGTAATGATTTATTATAATTCAATATTAGTTTCTTTAAATTTACCATTCTTAATCATAAATGTCATTGTTTGGTAATTAGTATAAAAATAATGATCCTACAATACAACACCACCAATGAACTTTTGTGTCAGTATATACACCCTAAAATTCCTTTCTACAAGAAAAAGACACATTTCTCACACAGTAATGTGGGTCCACAATTGCTTGATGTAGCATTGCTCACCTTTGTCTAGGTGTCAAAGTTGGATTAGAATTTATAGTGAAATAAATAATTTTGCCATGTGATTATGAGTTGGTTTTGATGAATTTTTTTCTTGGTTCTCAAGTCGAGGAGAGCACTGCGAGCATTGAAGGCACTTGTGAAGCTTCAGGCACTGGTTAGAGGTAACATTGTGAGAAAGCACACTGCCTACGCGCTACGAAGTATGCAGGCACTGTTACGAGCCCAAGCGCGTGCTCGTGCAGGGCGAGCTCAAATCTCTCAATCCCCACATTCAAGAACAAAGTCTTCCCAGTTCCTCTATCCTGTAAGCAACTTTCACTAAAGCCCTTCAATTATATATTCAATTCGAATTTCGTTAAAAATCATATCAATTATTTGGTAAAATGTTTTTGATGTGATTTTTGGAACATGTTGTGCATTGACTACTTTGAACTTGAAACATCTTTAGGGTGTGTGCTCTGGGTAGACAACAGTATGACGAAACAATATTCTTAGTCAGTGAAAGCACTTTTGGATGACAAATTACATGTCTTACATTGGGCATAATCTCGGCAGAACATTTAGGCATGCACAGTAATTTCCCTAAGCATTCTTTCGAGGATTATCCGTTACCTGCTTCTTCTAGGTTGAACAATAATTTTGCCTAAAGTTGCATCATACTTTAAGCTCTTATCTAAGCTAATGTAATGTATTTTTCTTTTCAGTTTCTTGTTCATAAAATAAGCTATACCAGTCAATAACTTGAAACATCAATTCAGTTGTGTGTTGGTTGCAGTTTGTTGTATTGTAGCAATTGCAAGTGCAATCTAAAAATTGCATCAATTGTTTCTGTTTTGGGATATCGAACATCTCTTTATCTTTGGTTTGGTGTGCAGGGCCCTGCAACCCCTGAAAAATTTGAACATGCCATTCGAGCAAATGGTGAAAAACAAAATCAGTCACCCAAGGTACGTTCGGACTATTTCTTGATTGCTTGTATTGTATTGTGATGATATGATTTATGCTGAAATGCATTCTTCCGCAACAAACGCAGGGAAATCGTTCCAAATCAGTTGGCAGGTCGATGGTTGATCAAGACAAGGCACGCGGTGGTTGGAGCTGTTTGGACTGCCAAATGAACGAAGGATTGGGGGACCGAGGGAGGTCTTTTTTGAGAACTCGCCCAACGGATGACAAATTTCTTGAGATAGATAATCGGGAACAACACTTGATACCTAAACGAAGAATCCAGTTCCAATATTCTCATCGTGCTTTGGGTTCAGATCAAATTAGTCATAGCTTAACCACTTCAAAAGACTCAACAACCCATCAAACCTTACCAAGTCAATCATCTTGTGAAGTTGAATCACCGATCCCTTTGTTCACTCGATATGTAGAGGAAACCTCTTTCCGCACTGCTGATGATAATTTTAAGAGAGGCCCCTGCACTCCCACTAAGAGTGACAGTTCAAGAAGCTACTTAAGCAATTGTTCAGAACACCCAAACTACATGGCTTACACTGAATCCTCAAGGGCTAAGTTGAGATCTCTTAGTGCTCCTAAGCAGAGGCTTCAATTTGAGAGATCAAGTTCAACAAAGAGGCATTTGATTCATGGGTATGGTGATTCAAGATCAAGCATGCAAAGAGATTCTGCATTCCATGCCATTTTCGCCAGTAAAGCTTATCCGGGCTCTGGTCACTTGGATAGACTTGGAATACCTGTAAGATCCAGTTGAGTTTAATGCTGGCCATTGGGATAGATACTTGACTTCTTCAGGGGATTGGAGGCTTTTTGTTAAATCACCTTGTAATGTACATATAGTCATGGAAGACTTGTTAACTTTTCAAATTTGTATTTCACATAGAGTGTGAGAATCTTCAAGCAATTCTGGAAATCCAAAGCAAGTTGATGCCATGATCAAGAAAAGGTTCATTTTAACCCAGAGAAAGTCTTCTTTGGTAAACACATATGGCATATGCTGTCTTTTATAACCCAACGTCTCTCACTTTCTTTCTTCCTCACTAACCCCAACAGATATCATTTGCACGGCAAATGTGAAGCAGCAAATCTAAAAATGTGACGATGATTGATGTATTTAATTGTGCCTCAAAACTAAATTTTCAAACTCTTTACAAAATGAATATTATTGCCAACTCAAGTTTTAACACCGATTAGCTACCACCATCACATAATTGGACGTAAAGTTGTTGCCATTTCAAAGATCATCACATTTGTAATTGAACGAAAAGTCCTACTTGCCAAACGATTTCCAGTTTTTGAAGACCAAAAACTTAGCTTTGTAGATCTTCAAGCTTGCAAGAAGGTCAGCAATTCATATACAAGCCAAAAGAAATGAGAGTGAGAGAGGGAGAGGGAGGGAGAGAACTCGTTGTGCTACTAGTTCCTCTCAACAAAATACAGATAGGAAACATATACATGTTTTCATGAGAGGATCTCAACTGCAACAAAAAAAACTTGAGCTTTGTAGATGTTCAAGACAAAAAACTTGAGCTTTGTAGATGTTCAAGCTTACAAGGTCTGCAATTCACATACAAGCCAAAAAAAATAAAAGAGAGAGAGAGAGAACTCATAGAGTTGATACTAGTTCCTCTCAACAAAATACAGAGAAAACATATACATGTTTTCATGAGTGGATCTCAACTGCAACAAGACCTTGATCACAATACAATAGCTGGCAATCTACTTATGCTGCTTGAACTGTTTCCCGAACTAGCGAGAGCTTAGCCATCAGGCCACATAGCTGAAGATATGAACCAACTCCATCACAAATTCTCATATGAGCAAAACCAGTTTCCTGCAAAACCATACGAAAAGAAATCAAATTTGTGGCATAGACAAGGTTTTGGAGAGACGATAAATAGTAAATTTGACCCCACACAGCATGTAAACCTTCATGAATTCCAATTTCAGATACTCAGCCATATCATAGTTCTTTATAATTCGAAAAAGAGTAGTAATTATGTCCGTGGGGGAGTAGCCCAAATCATAAAGCTGCTTTAAACCAGAACAGGCATCATCAAACTTCCCCTCTAGTACATTGCGCACCATATTCTTTACATGCAAGGGATGTGGCTGATCGCAAACCTAAAAACCAACCAAAACAATTAGTTCTAAAGTTACATGGTGATGATGGATATAGCAGGGGATATCTCTGAGCACTGACCTTGAAAACATTTTCTTGGTTGACAAAACGAAATCCACTGAATGTAGCTTGCAAGTTATTCAATGCCTGCCTCATATCACCATCAGCTGTGAAAATAATTGCTTCAAGGCCTTCCGGAATGTAGGGAACCTTCATTGGTTACAAACATGCAACAATTATTCCTTGTCAATAATTTCATAAGTAATCATGTGTGATAGCGGTCGTGGGGTGTCCAGCCATTGGATAAATAAGCTAATGTGACCATTGACATCCTAAAGCACACCTCATCATGTTTATGGTCTTAGGTACAACAGTTTGCTTCAAAAATAAAATTGAAGTACAGGACAAGATATGTATTCACAGGAAGCCAAAATAGATCACGAGCTGCCTCCATGGGGCATATAATTAATGGTGCAATGCTCCCAGATGGTCTTAAATAATTACATAGCATAAAAATAATCTAATGTTCCACACGATGCTCAAATAATAATAACTTGTAACACCAGTTTGAGACAAACATTTGACAGAGGTCAAAACACTATTCACTGCAATTTTGTCAATTCTCTTTTTTACCCTTTTTCTCTCTGTAGGGCGATTTTTGGTGTTTAGGGTTTTGAGGGTACGTGTGGAGGGACAGACCTCCTCCCCTCAACCTCCGGCAGGTGTTCAATGCCGGAACTCTCCTTCTACTACCCCAGTCCGGCCGGCATGGACTAGTTTCTTTACAGCTTCAGAGACAAAGCCTTTTGTCAATCTTCAATATCTTGAAAATGTAAGAGGCAAAAACGTTTCAATCTCTCTAACGGATGTGCAAGAGGAGATCAAATATTGGAAAATTTCTGTGGCGCGATATATCATGGGAAAGAGGCCTTACTATCATAAGTTCAAGTCATATGTTGAAAGATGGTGGGCTAAACAGGTTACTTTGGTGTATTTGAAGAAAGGTTTCTTCATGGTGCGGTTTAATAATGAAGAGGAGTTGCAGACTGTGTTATCAAGAATCCATACATTCGAAGGACATCCAATTATTATTAAACATTGGTGTAAGAATGTTAATCTGTCTAAGGATGTTCTAGATACAGTGCCAATTTGGGTTAGGGTTCAGAATCTACCGGTGCACTGTCGTAATAATACATCCATTTCAATGGTGTGTTCATCTTTCTCAAAGCCTATATACATGGATGATCCAACTTTGCATTGTGATAAAGGGGACTATGCTAGGGTTATGGTGGAGGTGAATGTTAAAGATGTTCTCCCAGACTCAATGGTGGTTGATTTCCATGGGTGCGATGAAACTATTGAGTTTGAATATGAATGGCGACCACAATGGTGCGGGATATGTAATAGAGCTGATCATCTACCAGCTAATTGTCCTACGAAGGTGGTGCAACAATCAAAACAGAAACAAAAGGTGGAATGGGTGGTAAAGCAACATAGGAAGCTGGTTGCTGCAGACGAGGTGCCTGTTGTTTTGCCTAAATTAACATCAACTGTTATACAGCCTAATCAAGTTCAAGTTTCTAACAAGTTTACTTCTCTGGCGGATGGGGATCAAGAAGGGGTCACAGTTGGTGAACCTGGTGGTAATCTTGTATCTGAGGAGATAAGGGTTGATGAATCTAATGTTATGGACCTTGCCATGATGGAGAAAACAAGTGGTGATCACGATATAACTAATAAAGCTTTGAATATAATTGCTGATACCGAGTTAGTTTGTTCTGGTGCTATGGCTACAGTCATTGGTGAGGATCTGATTCTTGAAGTTAATCCGATAGCTGTGATGGATGGTAATGTTACTTTGGATATGGGATTGTCTCATTCGAGAAGTAAGGAGGCAGTCACAATGTCTCAAGGGGTGAATTCTGGGAAAGGTGTTCAGGGTCTAATTCAGAGTAAAAAGCATCATCCAAAATTAGTTCCTGGGATTATATCTTCTGAACCTTTTACGAAATCAAAAACTAAACTTGTGGCACCTACAGACAGAAAAACTAGAAGTAGCCACACTGGGCTGTTGCCCCCCTTATCTCCTTCTCAATGATTAGTTCATGGAATGTGAGAGGCTTGAATAAATCTAGAAGGCAGAAAGAGGTCAGCAGTTGGCTGTCTACAAATGCCTCTCATTTCTGTTGCTTACTTGAAACTAAAGTTCGCAAGGAGTTTTTTGATGCTATTTCTAGGCGAATTAGGTATAATTGGGAATGGTCACACAACTATGATGCTCATCCATTGGGTCGAATTTGGGTTGGTTGGAATCCAGCAGTCTTTTCTATTTCTGTCATTCATTCACATGCTCAATGTATACTTCTCAAGGTGAGGGTTGTTCAAACTGGAGAAGTGGTTTATTGTACTCCGGTCTATGCACAAAATACAGTAAAGAGAGACAGGTTCTATGGCAAATAATGTCTTATTATGCTAATATTTCAGTTGGTCCTTGGATCACTCTAGGTGATTGGAATGCAATCAGATTTTTTGGGGACAAGAAAGGTGGTAGTAGGGTTCCTCAAAGATTGTTGGCTGAGTTTAATAATTGTCTACAAGATGCAGGTTTATTTCAGTTATATGCTGCTAATGGGGAGTGGTCTTGGTGTAATAGACAAAGAACTGATAGGAGAATATTTGTCAAATTGGATAGGGTTTTTGTAAATGAAAAATGGTTGGACAAAATGCCTGGTACTAAGGTTTCTATTCTTCTGCTAAATGCTCGGATCATTATGGGATTCTTGTGCAAATTTCAAAACAATTTGCAGATGGTCCTAAACCTTTTACGATACTGAAAGTTTGGTGTGTGCAAGGTTGTGTTTTACCTTTGGTTCAACAAGCATGGGACATGGTTGTCACTGGTTCTCCTTTTACATAGGCTTCTCAAGAAGCTAAGGAATGTCAAGCACAATATCAAAGAATGGAATAAGAATGTCTATGGTCCTGTGGGGGGAAAATTGATGACGACCAACTAGCAATTAGATGATATTCAACAAGTTCTTTTAAATGATCCCTCTGATACTGTTTTTGATCAAGAGAAACAAGCTAGGGAAGAGTACCGGGCAGCTATTTTGGATCAAGAGATGCTTATTGTTCAGAAATCTAGAGTGTTTTGGTTAACTGAGACTGATAAGTGTTCTGCTTTCTTCTATCATAAGATGAAACAACAGAGACATTTTAATGCTATCACTGAGGTTGAAGGAGGTGAAGGAGTTGAAGGGGTAATTTCTACTGATGTAGGGGTTATTAGAGAATGGTTTGTTCAATATTATCAAAAGCTTTTTTCTAAAACTGCAGAATGTCCTACAATTGTGGTGGCTCCTAGACTGACTCTCAGTGAAGCAGCTATTCTTCAATTGGATGCTGCAATTTCTCCCAAAGAAATACATGCTGTGGTAGTGAATTTTCATCCAGACAAGTCTCCAGGTCCAGATGGATTCCCTGCTAGATTTTATCAAACATTTTGGCCAGTGATTGGTGCTGATGTGGTGGCAGCAGTTCAGCATTTTTTCTTGTCTAGTATTATGCCTATGGGGGTGAGTAGTTGTTTTCTTACTTTGCTGCCTAAAGTGGGTAAAGCATTAAAAATGAGTTGAGTTTCGGCCTATTGCTTTGTGCAACTTGGTGTATAAAATTATTACAAAGATTTTAGCTAATCGATTGGCAGTGGTTCTTCCTCAATTGATTGGCATAGAGCAACATGGTTTTGTGAAAGGGAGGAAAATTCAAGATGCAATAATAATGTCTCATGAGCTGGTGAGGGATTTTACTTTACCTAGGCATGCTTCAATGGCCTTGAAAGTAGATATTAAGAAAGCTTCTGATTCAGTGTCTTGGGAATTCTTACTCAAAGCTTTGAAAGGTTATGGCTTCAGTGATCTTTGGCTTAAGTGGATTGCTTCTATTCTCCACTCAACCAGGTATTCGATTCTGCTAAATGGTACTCCAACAGGTTTTTTTCAGCCGGCCAGGGGTTTAAGGCAGGGATGTCCATTGTCTCCCCTTCTCTTCACTCTGGTAACAGATCAACTTTCACAAAAAATTAATGAGGCAGTGCAAAGGAAGGAGATTACAGTCATGCATTCTTCAAGAAGATTACAATCTCCAATGTGCCATATATTTTTTGCAGATGACCTTATGGTTGCTTGTCAAGCTTCCATTTCAAATGCTAAAGCCTTAGCTCTTAATTTCAAGAATTTTGAGGAAATTTCTGGTCTTCAAATGAATCCTCAGAAGAGTAAGGTTTTATTCTCTAGAGCTGCTAGAAGGAAGCAGGGTATTTTGAGGCTGTTGCAGTGCTCAGAGGAGGTGTTTCCTATTAAATATCTAGGTCTTCCACTCTGTCCCTCAGGTTTGAAAAGGTCCAATTGTAAAGAATTGATTGACAAGATTATTAATAAGATCTCCCACTGGAATACTAAGCTGCTGTCTCTTGCTGGTAAGTTAGAGCTGCTTAAAACAGTGGTGAATCCCTTTTTTCTATACTGGTGTAGCTGTTTCATTGTTCCTGTGGCTGTGACAAATCAAATTCAAAAGATATGTAGGGATTTCTTGTGGGGAAGCACTGCTCATACTAGTAAAATGCATTTACTGAAGTGGGAAAAAGTTACAGCTCCAAAAACTGAAGGAGGTTTTGGTCTTCGTAGATTGGCAGACATTCAAAGAGTGTCTAGGTTTGTGTTGGCTTGGGATTACTTAGTAAGGACAAATTGTGGGTGTCTTGGTGTAAGCATAAGTATTGTTCTAATTCAACATTTTGGAATGTCATTGCAAGATGCTCTGATTCTGTTATTTGGAAGTCTATTGTGGAGAATAGGGAAAGCATGTTGTTGAATGTCTCTTATCAAGTTGGCAGTGGTCAGGAATTCAATTTGTTTCTTGATCCTTGGTGTGAGGGGTTAACAATAGCACAAAAATTTGGGCATAGGATGGCTAGAAGGTTACCTTTTCACAGGGATGCTAAGTTACATAATGTTATGCTGAATGGAGATTGGAATTCGGACTTGGTACAAGATGATTTTTTTCAAGCTTTCAGAGATTTTCTGGTTACTATTAAAATTCATTCAACACCAGATAAGTTGCTATGGGACGGTGGCCTATTTTCTTTTAAGCGAGCATGGGAATGTTCTAGAGTTTCCAATGAAGAAGTGCAGTGGCATAAGTTGGTTTGGGGCAAGGCCAGGCCTCAGTGGTCTCTTATAGCAGTGCTAGTTTTGCAGAATAAGCTTCCTACTATGTTGAATTTACAGAAAAGACGGCTGCCTTTTCGTTTCTAGATGTTCTCTCTGTCTCCAAGCTTTGGATACTATGGATCACCTTTTTGTTACTTGTGCTTTTGCTAAAAAAATTTAGCAATGGATTGGTGAAGTTTTACATTGGAATATGGGAAATTTTGCAGAGGTACATACAGTTCTGGATTTATTTCTCTGGTGTGATAAATACCAGACTTCAAAGGTGTTATGCAGCTTATTTGCTGCTTCTTTGTGGGCCATTTGGAAGGAAAGAAATGCTAGGCTTCACTTAGATGTTTGTACTCTTTCTAGTTCAGTAGCTAGACAAATTCTGTTTAAAGTTCTTACTGTTCAGCATGCTAGTTTACAAGACCTTATCTGTTAAGTTTTTGGTGCTGTATCTGCTACATTGGAAATGGGCCTACTCCTAAAGCTGAAGACGTGTTTGTCTGTGGGAGTTTTGGTAAATGGTTTGCTGCAGAGGGTGATTTCTAAAGTCTTTGCTGCTGTTTGTCTTTGCTGCTGCTTTTTTGTTTTTGGTTAAGGCAATGGAGTTTTTTCTTCTTTGACCTTAGTTTGTTTCAGTCTGAGATTCTGGATTTTTGAATTCATTATATCTTAGGTTTTATTGTTCTTTTTCTGAGGGTATGCCCTCTATGCTCTTGTACATATTTTTCATTTTTTTTATACAACCACAATTATGAAAAAAAAAAAATTGATCTGATTCACTACCCAGCCCAGCAATCCTTTAACACCACCAAAATACAGTATTTGTCAGCAGTTACACCTTGGGTAAAACACCATTAAATACAGTACTCAAGGGATACATCGCAGACCAAGAAATTGGTACACATATATCATAAATAGAAGGAACATCAAAGTGCAAAGTTTTTAAACTAAGAATATAAAATTGCTAGAGTTGTAAATAAAGTTTTTTTTTTTTTTGAATGGTAAAGCAAACACAAACCCTTTTGCCCACACCTGGCCTGGAACCGCTCCCCTCCTCTTTGAGGATAGGGAGGTTATCCCGCTAGGCCAAAGGCCCTTTGGTGAGTTGTAAATAAAGTTTCAAAATCCTGAAAATTTATGGCTTTGATTATCAATGTTGCAAGGGACATACATATCAAAAGTGGGCATAAAAACCAATTAGAGAGACAGAGAGCAAAAAGAAAAAATGGAACAATTGAACAAAGGATAAGATTTAAAAGGCATTTGGTTCGAGTCCCACTAAAGGCGAGGCCCGGGTTTAAATAATGGATGTGGTTTGCGGGCAAGCAATTGAATGCACCCGGAGTTTGCAAGTCATTCGAGAGTCCAAAATGCCTAGCAGGTGGGTTGATTCTTTGTTACCCAAATAATAATAATAATAATAATATATGTGTGTGTGTGTGTGTGTGTGCCCCAACGAAGGTTATTGCAAGTGTTCGGCAGATGTGTACAATTTATTCTCACCAATAACAAAACTGATGCTCATGGTGACTTTGGGAAGGAATATATATGTAGTCAAAACATTCCTTTTTTTTTCCTAATCGATACTTCCCCCCTCCCTCTCTCCAAGGAATTGATTGCACCCAAGAGGAGTCGAACCTTAGACCTGATGCTTCATGAGGCACCAGGCCAAGTGACTTACCCACTTGAGCCAACTCTTTGGGGTTAGTCAAAACATTCATTGTTATCATTCTCGCCACAATAAAACATACTGCAAAATAAAGGGAAAAAAAAAAATTATAGCCAAAGCAATACAACAGTATTTTTTGTGTCAAACAGATGTGGGTTTCCGGGATACAAGAACTGAAAATGATGTGAAGATAACCACAGGTCATGGAGAATGAATGGTTCTAATTGAGAACTAGAACTGGGAGTAAAACTTAGTGAAATTTAAAGTTGGAGTTGCAGCCTGCAAACCAAGAATCCTATCCTTTTATTTTCCATTTTTACCGCCTGAGGAGGCACATGGGATAGGACTGGGCATGAACAAAGACAAACTAGATTATGATTTACCACCAAAAAAAATACTTCCATTTGACATGGTACAAATATTTGTTAAAAAGAAATGTCTTTAGCATCAGGTATATAAATATGTGTACCTTTTCTGCTTCAAGCACCACCATAAGACGCCCAAGGATCTCTTGATCAGATAATCTTGCAAACCGGACAAGGGCACATCTACTCTGGATAGGCTCGATAATTTTAGAGGATGTATTGCAAGCAAGAGCAAAACGAGTGGAATTTGAATATATTTCCATTGTCCGCCTCAAGGCTTGTTGTGCTCCAGATGTCATGCTAATTTACAACCATGATCCAAAAAAATAAATAGGTAATAATGATAAAACAAAATAAATAAACAAGTTGCAAATAGATAATATAGTGACATAGGAAAAATCTAATACATATTTTAGATGGAAAGAAAATGTATGAAAGGGAACAGTATTACTATAATCACTGACAAGCTGGACTAAGCAAAGTCCCACACTAGGAAAACTAATTCCATTATTTATTTACCTGTCGGCTTCATCCAAAATTATTACTTTGTGCCGCCCAGGAGGTAATGTAACTTTCTTTTGGGCAAACATCTTAATTTTGTTTCTCACAACATCAATTCCCCTAAAAAAAAACATGGAAAGGTGAACTGGTAAAGATGTATTTGCCAATCAACGAAAACATTACAAGAAGAGCTCGACAACATAAGAGTTCATAATAATTTTACATGCCTGTCATCTGATGCATTCAGCTCTAGAACTGCCTCCCTATAATTTGGTCCCAATAGCTCATGAGCAAGAGCCAATATACTAGTGGTTTTACCAGTTCCGGGAGGACCCTGAAATATATAATGAAGATTGCTCAATATCAGTGCTAGTTAGTTTTTCATAATATGGAGCCATCATTAAGTAAATGATATCCGCAGATTTTTCATGGAAATGGTCAATATTGCCAGCTTGTTCATTCCTACCCTTTTTCCTCTGGCCCTCTATTTGATTTGATGACAAAATGTGGGGAAACCCAAGCAACTAAATTGAACCTCATGTTTTCAGTACTTCTGGCTTCAAAGCTAAGCTAAATAATAGTACACGACTTAAAGAAGTGCATGTTTTTGTTTGTGTGAGCCCCGTATAACGAAAAAGGGAAGAATGAAAAAAAAAAAAGCCCGATCATACGTGTACATTGTTTTTGTGCGTTTTCTAAGCAAACAACTAGACATAGGCTTCTCACATCATAGATACAAACATAAAGGAAGCACACCAAGTACCACTTTCACGTAACCAAGTACATGGCACACTATTTAAGTCTACACCAAACCAATTAACCTAATACATTTTCAACCCAGTTGTCAAATTAAATCACCAAAGTGTGGAACACATTCTTTGTTTCCCTCTCTTTTCATCTCAAAATTCAAGATATTTAAAACAAAAAATACCCAAAATTTCAACTATCTTAGGCAAACAAATTAGGGTTTCTATGATGAACAAAAACCCAAAACAAGAACAATAATAATATACACGCCTATGCATGTATGTGTGTATATATAGACATATATATAGTTATGTATGTACATATAAACTAATTATGACCCAGTATTCAATGCAGTGACTTTGTGTGACCATGTATGAATTTGAGAGAGAATGAGGATGATAAAGTAAATAGAATCAAAAGGAAATTTTCTTACGGCTAAGATGAGGTTGGGCATGTTGCCGTCACGAGCGATGATTTGAAGCCTCGACATGGCGTCTTCGTTGCCCACAATGTCGGCGACTTTGGAGGGTCTGTACTTCTCTACCCACGGAATTTCGTAGCCGTGGCTCAATGATGACGAAGAAGAGGCCGCCATTGCCGTTGCTCACAGAGAGCTCGCTGATTCGATTTAGACGAAGATCGGATAGCTCCCAAGAACTCCCCACACAACTTTCCCTAAACCCTTCGATTTGGAGGGAAAATAGGTACAGAGAGATATAGGGGACTAGTCCCACGGTCCGATTGGACCGGGTTGGTGCCAAACTTAGACCGGGGCTGTGTTGGTATGTGTTTGTAATGTTTTGTTTTGTTCCAAAGCTGTTAAAGTAACTATTTTTTGGCCCAATTCATGTTTGTGTCCATTTGTTTTATAGCCAACGGTACCACAACATTGCACAAAATGGGCCCAAAACCCGAAACAAGAAATAGGTGTTTTTGGATATGCTAGCACTTTGCGGCTATTGTAGGGGACGAAACAAACATTTGGGTTTAGGGATTTTGGCCCATTTTTCTCTGCACTCTCTCTCTCTCTTCTGAAGTAGGGATGGCAACGGGGTGGGGTGGGGTGGGGCGGGAATTTCATTCCCCATCCCCATCCCTGATGCATTTTTCATTCTCCATCCCCGCCCCCATCCCAGCTTAAAATTTTGCCAGAATCCCCATACCCGCCCCCGCCCCTGACACCTTATCCCTGTCCCCGCCCCGCCCCGCCCCTGGCCTCATAATTTTTTTTATTAAAAAAAAAACACATTTTTTCTTATTTTCATATATATAATAAATCAAATTTAGTAATAAATTATTAAATGTAAGGGTATATTAGTAACTTTACACTTAATCGGGGCGGGCCGGGTTTACCCCATCCCCGGCCCCTGAGGGGATTCATAATTTGCCCCCATCCCCATCCCCGCTATAAACGGGGTGGGGCCCTGGCGGGGATGGGGAATTTGCCATCCAGCGATAACCTCTAGCGATTTGGAGGCGACCAAACCCTAGCCTCTGCAATTGGACTAGAATTCCTCCCACGGGCTAGGCAGTGATCCGCCAACCATGAATTAGAAGTAGACGCTGCCGGAGTCCTAGAGTTGCTGTACGAAGGGGCTTTTTTGGTGTTCGGTGTAAAAAGAACTGATTGTGGAGAGTTTGATCTTGTGGTGGCGGAAGAGCATCGGTACATAGTCTCTAAAGTGAGGCGGTTGGATCGCTTCAATCGGGGAGGACATCCACTCGTATCATGCAACTGGTTTCAATACTCACGTTTGGCTCCATCTTCACCGCGGACGATGGCCGGAAAAATACTCTAGTGTGCGTTGTGTTCGGCGAACAAAAATTGCGAGTGCCGGCAACAAAGACCAACAACTCCGACGACGGCAGTGACCAAGCAAGGGAGGCTGGCGGCGATGGTGATGGTGACAGTGACCTGATTCTGGCAAAGATGACCAGAGAACAGTGTCGGGTCTTGGGGTTTTGAATGCTTTTGTTTGTGTGATGGGTATAATTGGTGGGAAATTTAGGTTTGCAATTGAGAGTGATGATGGGTGGTGGATGGAAGTGCAGTGATGGGTGGTGGCAGTGAGTTTTCTGAATTGGTGGTGGGAGTGGAAATTGGTTGTGGCAGTGGGTTTTGGGAATTGGTGGTGATGATGGATGGTTTGGGTGATTGATGTAGGCTGTGGAGATGGTGATTTGTAACTAGTTGGTCATGGTGGCTACAATTGTGGTGATCTGTTGGTGATGATGGCTTCAATTGTGCAACTCCTGCTACAGAAAAGAAAATACTAATAATAATAATAAATAAAAAAAACCGAGAATAAAATTGTTCTCATATTTCTTGAAACGAAATATTTGCGAAACATGTTCAACCATGTTTTGGTTTCAAAATTCTCACTGCAAATTTTCGTCGCCAAACATGTTTTGTTCTCATCTCAGAACACCCCATAACAAAACACTTGTTCTGTTTTAGGCTAAAATAAAACGCCCGGGAACACAACGCGTACCAAACGGACCCGAAGGGGCTGTTTGGTATGTGTTCTGTAATGTTTTGTTTTGTTCCAGGCCCGCTACAGTACCACTATTGAGGCCTAAAACATGTTTGGGGAGGTCTGTGTTGCTTTCAACAGTGTTAAAACAACTTGAAACGTGTGGGCCAAAAGTTGAAACAAGAAAATGGTGTTTTATGTTGTTCCAAACTGTAGCGGGGGCAACAAACAACCAACAAAGCACAGAAACAAAAATTATGAAGTACCACTGGATCTCTCGTCTCTCTTTCTTTTTCCAACCTCTCAGGCGAAGAACCTATGGTCCAAGCCGCTGGCCCTCTCCTTACCATCTTTGGCTTATTCTTCTTACCATTCATCTGGTCCTCACCCGGAGGCTTCATTGCCGCCGAGATCGCCACCGCCTCGCAACAATGGCTTCATCCTCTGGGTCACCGCGCCTTCTATCATGATGACCTAGAAATTCCTCTCCAGTATCCCTCGTCGCCGTCCCCATCATCTTCATCGACTATCACAAGATATCTTCCCCGTCTTCAGTGACCCAAGTAGTGACCCAAATCACGAGTTCCAATTTTGTAGAATACAATCCTAACCCAAATCATTTGCAATGCAAGCTTCGTCGTCGTCGTTTCAATTTGGGGGTTCATCGTGTTCTTCTATTCGATGATGGTTATCTTGTCGATATACCACAATCGTCGAGTGACTGTTTATGGCGTCGCCCTTTGACTTTTTTATTGGTAGGGGCTTTGCCATTTGTTTATTGGTCTCGCTCTATCGTCATCATGTTGTCGCTACGCTGCCTGATCTCACCGTTGTGTATCGCCAACGGCTTGTACGATTAGGGCTTTCATTGTTTACTTTTGATGTTTATTAATATATAATTTTAGAAGGAGAGGGATGAGATAATATATTTTCATCACCAAACATATTTTGTTCTCATTTCGGAACACTCAATAACAAAACACTTGTTCAAACTAACCAAGACGAAACTAATGGACCGATCTGGAAAAAAAAAGCCACAAATCACAATAGAAAATGATTTTTAAAGTAAATAACGTTTCGTAAGACACCCCATGACTTATTCATTTGAGCCAATTTCTTTGAAAACTTACCTCATCTAAATACTATTGGAGTATATAATAAAGTGAAGAAAGTTGTAAAATTAAACCTAAATACAAATATGAGATGAAGTTTGACTTGTAAATTACTAAATTTAAAGGGGGTTTTCTAATGACAAATTAGTATTTAAGGATAATTACAATAATTCTATTAAATTCATAATTCAAGGCAATGTGAAATAATTGAACGTTTTATTTTGCATTTTTTTTAATATTAATTTTTTAAAAAAAGACAATTGATATTCATATTTTGTATGTTCAATATTAGTAGTCCATTGTTCCCTATTTGGATGTAACAAAGCATATAAATGTTGTTTTCAAAAAATTTCAAACTCTGTAAACTATACATATTTAAAGGACAAGTTTATAATTTTAAAAACTGATAATACATTAATTGCATGTCTTTTTTATTAGTATTATTATTATTTTACCCAATTACATTTCCCTTTAAAAACTTTCAGTTCTACACATCGACATCTAATATGGGACTAATGGAGCAAAAACATTCCTTGGTAGTAGTAACAAGAGTGAGAATATTCCCCATTCACTCGAATTATTTAATGAGAATAAAAATCATTTTAGTGGGCCTTAAAAGTGGAGCGGGAATAAGCAAGAAAAGTAAAAAAAAAATTGAAAATGAAAATAAAAATAAAAATGAAGAGAATGAAAAGAAAAGTAATTTTCTAACATGCATTTGGTTAGTATGAAAATTTATTAAAAAAAATTGTAAGAAAATATTGCTTAGTTAATTTGGATAGCATGAAAGTGAAAAGAAAATTGTAACAATGGTATATATATAACAAAACTACCCTTATGATTTCAAATGCTATAAATAAATTTGTGTTTTTTGATATCCATTTTTAGTAAATAAATACTCCGTAGTAAAGTGATGAATTATTAAATTTAATAATACAATTGTTTAATATTTAATTCTATTATCTATATTTAAAATAAGGTTTCGTAATATTTTTGTAGGTAGAAATAATTATTAGTTTAAGAGAAACGAATTTTTTTTTTTTAAATGATTATATGTTTTTTTTTTTTTTGGTAAAATTATATATTGTTGTTGGCCAAGTATATTATTATCAATGTATTAGATCAAACAAATACTGAAAAAAAAAAAATGTTAAACGAGCCTCCCATTTATATAGTACTACCTCCGTCCCAAATTAGATGTCTTGCTTGGGGAACCGTGACTCACAAAACAGTTCCTCAAATATGACATCTTTTTTGGGACAGAGGGAGTGGTTTATAGCCCACGTACGTTAAGAAATCCAATAAAAAGTAAAGAATAAACCACTAAACAAGTTGCCTATTGTTTTGGCAAGTTGTTTTAGAGGATAATTTTTTTTGATAAAATAGGAAATTGAATAAGAAATAACTTATTTCATGTAAAAATAATATTTTCGCTTGTTTTGTACATAAAAAGTTTTGAGAAAAATAGGCAAGCGTCAGAAACTAAATTTTATTATACGTTTCTATTTCCTTCTATCCAAACTTCAAAAATATTTTAAATTTTTTTTTATTTCTTTTCTTATTTGGTTGATTCCATCTAACCAAACAAAGCCTTACACTATTTGTTATGGAGTATTTTCCTAATTTTGCTATGTCATTAGTATGTCCGTCTAATAAAAAATTACCATACAGAGAAATGAGTCCCAACATTTGAAAAAACTGCTCAAAACTAGTCTCTACAAACTAGTTTGTTATATTTTCAATGGCAGAACATACGAATGACATGGTATGTTGGGCTCACTTTATACCTACTTCGATAAATGAGCCAACGCACAATCATAGGTAATTATTGTCCTGTTGGAAAGTAGAAAATTTATTCTCTCCATAGGTGGATTCGTTAGGAATATATTTTATGTTTATCATTGACTTTCCTAGAATCATGGAATAATAAGTTAGAGAATCCCACTAATATAGAAATTCATTCTAATTCATTTTTAGGAAAGTTATGAAGGTTAGTTTCCTATTTTATCTCCCTGTGATTAGCTCTGTACAGGCTGTAATTTGTGTATATAAGCCGTGTATTGGCTTTCTTAGTCATATACAATTTTTATCTTTTCTCCAAAATTTCTAGGTTCTTTTCTGGGAATCATATAGTCT